TGATAATGTCACATCCAGCTGCTTTTCTAACTGACATGATAGATGCTGATGCAACATCCTCTTGTCTGTGTGGTGCTGGGTGATGACTGATGATGTCACAGCCTGCTAATGGCCTGTATTAATATCAGCGGCAGGGCACCTCCATTAGTGTAATGGGGCTGATAATGATGATGATAGTTTCAACACAGAGCTGTCTGCAGCGGCAGCATCAGCCAGCTGTAAATGATGATCCAGCAGCTTCGGGGTTTTTATCCTATTCCCTGTAGGAAACATGTAGCCATAACCACCCAGGGACTTACAGTGCAATAATGTGACCTGCACACGTACAGTTAAAGAATAAATTTAGATTTCATATTTGTTGATGCTAGGTGAGGCAGCTGTTTGCGGCACTTTTCTCCACAGAAACTGGAAATACTGTTTACGGTGGAACGGAGGGATGGAAGCAGGATGGTGATTTGTCTGGCATAAAATAATTTTACTGGCCTAAATATTTATCAACAGAACTAAAAACCATAGCTCTGCTGGTGCCCCCTTAGATGCTGATATGGTCTGTCACACCACACAACTAAAACATGCTGGACTGAATTAACAGTCAGGTGTTGTGTGAGCCTCACCATCAGCAGGGGTTCAGCAGGGAAATCCGACTCTGACCATATTCTCGCCTATTTAAACCCCTTTATATATATATATATATATATATATATATATATATATATATATATATATATATACCCCTTAATACACCCACTGTCATGCACAAGCAACTAATTCAACAACTAATAAAATAAAACGAATAAAAACTAATTCAACAACATGCATCTGTGGTGGTAGTTGGGGGACTCACTAACAACCTTTTTTAAGCAAAACAAACAACCATGCTGCTTTTTTAACCTGTAGTTACAGTTAACACCTGCAATACAAAACAATAAACTGGACTACTTAGTATTAGAAAGTAAATCTCCTTTCAGTGTAAGCTCCTGATATTGTAACTTAGGCTCAGACAGTTGGGATGGGCCACTCTCTGTGGCTGTTTTTGTAACTGAGGGCAATGCTGCTTCATTTGTCAGCAAGATAACTATTGTAATGTTAGCTAGCTAAGTTGAAAACCTTTCTAATCTCTGTTGGTAGCCCAGCTTCCCTTTTTTGGCATCAGGGACATGTTTATTTTTGTCAGAACCCTACTGCAGGAGTGTACTAAACTCAGAGCACCTTTCTGGTGGCAGGGTACCAGAGAGGCTCTGTAGTGAAATGGTCAGATGAAAAAAATTGTCTACCAAAAATAATAGCATGTTATTCTTTTTTTCAGTTTGCTATATCTGACTTATGTGCATTGCCCTTCTACAACACTTTTTAAATTACCAGTATTTATTTATGCCGCAGGAGACTGTACTGTATAAGGCATAGTCTGTTTAGACTTATTTAATGTACAGTAACTTTGTCTTTATTTACTGTAAGAATGGTACCTTCTTTTCTGAAACTTGTTTATGCTACTTATACACTTATCTATCTCTGCTCTTGTCTTTGCTGTTCCCCACTGTGGGACAAATAATCTCTTATCTTATCTTATCTTATCTTCTAATGCTTATAGACAGGTTTCTGTACAACGTCATCACCGAGATTTTACGAAGCATTAGGTTTTTTAACGCCACTGTCTGAGATAAAAAAAAACCAAGCAAATGGCTCGACTTCAGAACCAACGTTACTGTTTTGCACATACGTTCATTAGAGAAGTATTCAGTGCTTTTACAAAACACAAAACGTTGATTAACGCCACTCTCTCCTGTCGAGTGAATGCTTCACTGGTATATAACGTTAGCTGCCGGGGAGTTTCTTTCTACATGCTAAATTTCACATTGCTGTACTGCTTTAGCAGATGCTTCAATACAAAATTGATCGTGGAAGACAATGTTCTTTGCATCTCTGAGTACTCAGTACTCTGAGTTTCCACAGCACAGCTCTGGAAAGAATGCCTCTCTGCCTCTTTCTTCCATTAGCTGCTGACTTGAACAACATTACGTCTGGCTTCGCTAACCTGCGGTCGCGCATTATATTAATATTCAAAATGAAACATAAAGAAACAGATCCAACTCTGAAATGGCAGTTTATTATTAAGTCAACAAGAATTTACAAACAATGCATAATGTACGTTGATTACAGTGGTTGACCACAGCCTTCTGTCCGGCTACCAAAGCGCTTTTGCCCCCTGGCTGCGCACACATCCAGTAGCGTTTGTATACAAGAAACCTGTCTATAACTTAAAAATTTTGAAATTGCAGAGAAAACTCTGCCCATGTTAGGGCCCTCGATAGTTTGTTCAACTATTCCCCACACTGTAATGTCCCGAACAGTGGGGCTCATATACTTGCAAGCGTGAATGTTCTTAACAAATGTCAAAGCAAAATCTGCAGCCTAAATTACAAGATATCCTGTTTGTGTACTGACGTTATGAGGGTGATGTACATTTCCAAAAAGTCTGGAAATTACGTTTGAGTTATTTTGTCATGAACCAGTTTTGACCTGAATGTGGTACTAAGAAAAAGGTGATACAGTCACCAGAAGCATTCAGAATAACCTTTTAGGAATCAAGAATAGCCATACCAAATTTCATGGCAATGTGGCCAGTAACCGTTGCTGTTTTTGTTTTTGCAGCCTACATCTAGGTCTTGTGTTGTGATGCCTGACCAAGTCAATCACACCTTTGGAGGCAGAGTTAAGAAAAGGAATGTCAGTAGTGACAAGCGTGGACAACATTGATACAGCTAGACATGCTTTTGTCAATGGAATCACAATCTGCATATTTTCAGCCGAAGTGTAAATTTGTTCGTGTCCGCTGACAGTGACAATGATGTGATGAATCCGATGGTCACTGCTGATTGGTTAACGCAAAGTAATCCCTCCTCCCCAACAAGAAAATGGTTATGATCAGGCAACTGCGGACTAACTTCACCATTGCCAGTAAACAGTATCAGAAAAGCAACAGTTGAATGAAAACATAAAACCTGTAAATAAAATTTCCACTTGCAGATTTGGGGACGCTTTGAGATCACGTACTCCTTTAAAAGGTAAAAACGGAATAGAATCCATTTCTCACAAAAGGTCCTTTAAGGCATCTCCGTGATGGTTGTCAAGAGGATGAGTGGCTTCATAAAGCCATGTGCCAACAGGGGCTGTGGTGATTTGAGATGAGCTGCATCGATCTAAGCTGTCTAAGCACACAACTAGAATTTATAGCGCTATAACGCCATTTCTATCCAATTGAAGCTGTGTGAGTCTAAGTTTAGCCTGTGCCACCAGCTTGAAGCATGAGTCATGCTGTCAATATTGGGGAGAGATGCCCCATGGTTAGTTACCACTGTGATGGTAGCCATTATTATGACTGTAGTTTAATATCTGCCCCAGGCACACACACAAACACACAAGTGCTAGATTCGATTTATTAAACCCTGGTCTTTGTCTTCCTCCACCAATATGCAGGTTAAAGGCCCGATTAGACAGAGCGCACTTTGCAGGCTGAAAAATGTGGCGTACTGTCATTTTTGATGAACACCATAATAAAAATATCAAAATCATCTGCCTTATTCCAACCCTTTATATATATATATATATATATATATATATATATATATATATATATATATAGGCAGGGGCACTGAATGTGATTGAGGGTAAGAGGCTGCTCTCAAATATACTGTGGACACAGGAAAATGATATTAGGGGTGCAGCTAACGATGATTTTAGTACTTGAAGCTTCTACTGATTATTTCATCGATTCATCGTTTAAGAAGTACTTTTGCTTGGTGGCATTTGTTTGTGGTAGGTTATGTTTGTTTTAACGTCACTGTTGTATTTTGGATTTAGGCCTAACCTACTGTTTATTTAGCCTCGACTTTGTAACTAGCAAAACATTACAGTGACAATGCCGATGAAAGTGAGCTAACGTTAGCTTAACACAAACCATGAACTGTATACAACGATTGGCAAAATCATATAACTCCGGGTATCCAGCAACAGCCACCACTAGTTTGTCCTCCCCTTTTGTCATCTGATTGGACAGTTGAAAAAAACACCAATGATATTGGGCACTTTTCTGCTGAGAGTTTAAGTTTTTTCAACTGGAGGCGCTCAAATGCTCCTGCAAAAAGTAAGGCGTCCCGAGCGGTTTATAGAAAACAACTGGAAAAAGACGCCTCTCACTGCAAAAAATGCGCTCTGTCTGATCGTTACTCAATGCAGTGACTGAGAGAAGCGAAATAGAGAAAAGACACTTTACAGAATACAAACTGCATGTTGGCTTATTGTTTAAATGAAATCTTAACTGTAGACAGTAAGGAGTTTGCAGAGATCTGTAATGGATTTAAACCAAAAGTGGTTAGAAACTATCATATATTTTCTAATAAAACCATGAACAAAATATACATAACCTTTTGACCATTAACCTAATATAATCCAATAAGAAATCACAGTTTGTGTTTTAACCCTACATTTGAGTCTAAATTAAATCTGCATAAATGGTAATGGTCTGGGTGGAAATGAATAGTGAAATCAGAACACGAGGAAATACAAGTCATAGCCCATAGTGCATTATTTTCCTGCTCTGCACAACTAATCTTGTAAAAACGAATGAAGAAGTACCATCTACACCTCTGTGTTTTTAGCCCCTGGCCTAGTTGTTTACATTTTGACAAATCTGTATCATGTAAAGTCCTGCTGCTATGGCTGCTGTTCACACTGTGCAGGCAGGCTAGATCTATAGCCTGCCTGTTTATACAAATTTACAGACCTTTATTCTTGATGGATTTTTGTATCTGTTCAGAGCGATCTCTTTATTATAGAACATAGAATAGAAATTAATACTGGCTATCTGTGTTTGCATTATACAACACAATTGGTAAATGTCCTTCCCTTGAAGCTGTGAGCAGCAAAGAAGGCCCTAGACTCGCATTGTTCCATGAAGTATTTTCAGTCTGTAGCCATGCTGACAGCAGTGCCTACTTACTGACCCGGGTACAATTATTGGCCTTGGGCTCCAACTCGGTGACCTTGGTGATCTGCTTGAGGAAGTCGGACTCCTGCATCCCCGGCTGAGAGCCGCGCCGCTTGAACTGCGCCCGCGGGTTTGCCAGGATCACCTGGAGGTTCACGGCGAAACCTGAGGAAGAGAGAGGGAGCAAGAAGAGGAAGAGTGGGGACAGAGGCAGAGAAACGTTGAGGAGGTTAGCCATCATGGATTAAAAGCACATTATTAGTCTATTATAATCACAGCAGAAAATGATAGAGTGCATTAGTGTATCTAATGACTATGATATGGCTGATATGAAATCCCTTTACTACAGGGGTCTGCCATTCTCCTGCGATAATTGCACTACAGATGAGAAAGTCAGGGGGAAGTCAAAATGCTCATGATGCCAGTGTGTTGTAGTAGAGGAGAGGTGGGGATTAATGGCTGGCAAACCAGATTTAATCAACCTGATTAAAAAATTGGTAACAGTGGCAGAAAATCTAACGCTACGTAATTACTTTGTAAGCAGAAAGATATTGTCCTGCAAGCAGGAATGTGTTTGAAGGTCAAAAAGTTATTCTGATTGGGAGATTAGTGTTCAAATATTCTCAGTTTAATTAATCCATGTCTTCACTTTATATCCTTTAGGCAATGAACTAAACACAAAAGATGAAGCTAATCCCTTCTACTGTCATGCTTAACCTTGCTCCCACCAGCGTGTCTGTGGAGAACACGTCATTCACACATCTGATGTGTTGTCTGACCCTGGGGCCGGAGGTCTGAAGGTGACACATGACGTCTCTTTTACATCTTTTTGCCTCTACCTCTAGCTGACCCTTTGCTGACAGAGCAAAGTGCTCGGAGATGGAGCTGTGATGAGTAATGGTGGAAGAAAAAACTTGAAGAATGCTTTGGACAGAAATAACTGATCTATGAGTTCCACTATGAATTCTGCAGACATAAACTTTCTCCAGGTGAAGGCCTTTTCAGTGTAGTTTTGTGGCAAATACTCTGTTAAGTATCCCTTATTGCCTGGCACTGAGCTACTGGCTTCTATTCTTCTGCCAGTAGTCTGCAGTTTGTCTGTGTTTGACGTGAATGTTATTGCCACATTAAGTCACTTTGCATGTTTATTAACTGATGCTCTTGAGGTCCAGGCCTTTGTGGATCTCTAACAGTCTCTAGTTATTTTGAACACATTAAACTGATGATTGTCAGACCGCTTTTAAAGTTGCCAAATGCTGGTAATTGGCCCTCAGCTCTATGTGATGGAACGGTGTGTAGCATTAGTTGTTTATTAAAGCCACGTTTCCACTAAAGGAATTATACCCCGGAACTAGAAACCTTTGGAGGAACTCACTGCGTTTCCACCACAGGGACCAGGGTCTAAATTTAGTTCTAGGGTCTGTATTTTACCCCCAAAAAGTCCCTGTGGTACTTTCCAAAAGTACTTTAGGGGGGTGGAGCTTACCTTGTCGTGATTGGGCGAGTAGAGGCTACTGGCTTTACATTGAGCATGTCGGCCGCTCCTCTCTTTTCCACCATTGTTTGCAAACCAATAAATCACAATATATACGTCAGCCTTAAATGTATTGCTCGGAAACAGCAGCCAGTGTGCAGCGGTGTGTTTACAGCTAAATACTGGGTCTGAAGTTGTTGTTATAAGTTTTCATCAGTCAGCAGGTTTCTACACAGACAGCTGATTACAGCAGGAAATAAAGCTTGTTAAACATCACGTTCCTGCAACGCTCAGGCGACACAGACGTGATGCTGCAGCTGATCTGCAGCTCTTGTCGGCTGGAAATGTTTCAATAACCTTCCAAACTGTCACAAATTTATTTTTGTGTTTCTTTCTCTGTGCTGGCGTTACTTTAAGAAGTTGATGCCTTTATCCAGTTGGTTATTAAATTTGTAATGAACTTTATCATGTGTCTCTACTTTATGCTCCCACTTGGGGTGGCAGTAGCGCAATGGCTAAGACTATGCCTTTGGTGTGAGAGACTCGGGTTTAATCCCCCAGTGTGACCACCATTGTGTCCCTGAGCAAGACACTTAACCCCTAGTTGCTCCAGAGGCGTGCGACCTCTGACATGTATAGCAATTGTAAGTTGCTTTGGATAAAAGCGTCAGATAAATGAATAAATGTAAATGTACACACAAAAGCTGTTAAAATCTGATGTTCATTTATAAATGTTGCTCATGGATAGTGGTTACAAATAATGATGTCTGTGCATCACTGTGTACGGCGTACAGGCCTACAGCCTACGTCAGCTGGTTAATTTGCCTAATCTTCGCAGGTCTTTAGACCACGGTGGAAACTCACACAGCAATGGGCTGAAGGAACCTTTTAGCTCCTTGAAAAGAGATTCGGGCACTGAAAAGTCCCAGTACTTTTGGTGGAAACGCGGCTTAATCTGGCAGTGCTTTAGCCGTAGTAAAATCATATTATCAACCAATTTAACCCGAGAAAATAATCTGATCCCATCTTCCAAAATGTAAGAGAGCTGCCAGGAGGCAAAGCATAAAAACTCACATTCTGCTGAGGTAATAGAGAATATTTGATTTTAGATTAAAACATGACATTAACAAGACTTAAGCCAGATGTTTGCTTGTGTGTTATGGTGTTGCAGTTACATTTTTGAGGAGGTGCCTCAAAAATGTAACTACATACCGCAGCTGAGGAGATAACGCGGAGCCCATATGAGCTGTGATTGGTTAGCAAGGGCTGCTTGATGAAATTGTTCAGAATGAATCTTTCTCTGTATCACAAAGTAGTAAATGTCAATTAAGTTACTGTGGGAAATATAGTTAAAGCATGACACGGCCTAATTATGTATAATAATACTGTACATACATAATACATAATCCAAATCCATAATACATTGATCTCGCATGGGGCCACGGAGGTGCAGTGCTTTGCAGTGTCGCCTCCTAGCCTATCTGGTCTGGGGACCCAACCTTAGTCATCCCAGGCTTTTCTGTGTGGAGTTTGCACATAGCAGCTCTATGATGCTGTTCTTACAGTAGAAATACTGGTGCTTTGAGATAAATGCTAACTTCAGCAAACTTACATTCACTAATTGCTACTTGAAGCAAAAAACAAAGTGCAGATAGGAAAATCAGATATATTTTTGTTTTTATTTTAGCCGTATTTTTATTTTTTATTTTGCAGATATATGGCTATACAGCAAAGTATTAGGTTAAGTGAAATTTTTAGGCATATGATCACAAGTTATTACAGTTGATTGCGTGGGGAACATGAATTTTTCAAATAGTTTCATCCAATATTTCAGTCTGGATCAAAATGGATCAACATTTCCCAGAGCTACACCACCAGCGGTGCTACAAAGCTTTTTGCACACATAATACACAGACCAGTCTATGGTTCTGAGTGTTGTAAAATACTGATATCATTCATTCTCAAAGGAAACATTTATGAATTAGCTCAAGTCCTAATCTCACTAGACAGTTTTTAGTTCCAGTAATATTATTAGCTGGACTATCCAGAGATAACATACTGTAATCTTTATGGTTTCCAGTCGTCTGTGGCATTTCCCTTTAAGACCCCACGCTGTAGACACCCCCACTGGGCTGAAAACAAATCCCATCAGCACCTTCTCTCTTCTCTTCATTCTGCCTGTTGAGCACTGTGGTGTAATTAAAAGCATTTATTTTGTAGTAAATGTGCAAAAAACTTTGTCCTTAAATGCCCCATCAAGACAGCACAAATTAAAGCGTAGGTGTAGTTATACTTTAAGAAAAGCATCATTTCTCCGTGGGATGCTGAAGTTTCTCGTTTAGAGGGCAACAGGAAGATGTTTTCAGAAATTGCTGCGATCCTCCATGCACAAGGTCTCGGCTTAATTACTGAATATTTATTTATGCAAATCTTTAGTGGGTGGCACGCCTTGGCAATCAGTGCATCAGTGTGGGAATTCACCCCAAGTAATTCACCATCCTCGCCTCCTCTCTGGTCCCCCTCCCCCTGGCTGAAAAGCATTTTCTAGGCTGCAGCTATCCTGAGGTACTGACACGTCGCCAGCAGACAGCAGTCCTCCGAGTAATGCGAGTGTCAGCATGGGTCACACACAGAGAGGAACTGCAGACATGCAAATGCATTCAGTTTATCAGCCCGCTATAAGCTTAAGTTTGCTGCATTTTAGGCCAGGTCAGCCATCACTAACACACCCTACCCGTTCATCCTGTACTCACTTGCACAGACAGACAAAAACACACAACGGGTGAGACTGAGAGTGATTTTAAAGACTCCTACAGAACCAACATTTAAAGATTGAAGGTTATACTTTGTACAGATAACCACAATATTTTAACGTGGCAATTTCAGGGTAAAAAAAAAAAGCCACACACAGAACCTGATATAATGCCTATACTGTTGTTGGATTAGTCTGGGATCAGGCTTATTACTGCTCTGTGTGCGATACTGCAGGCTAATCACAGAGATAAATGCAGTTCAGGTGGAGTAGATAGATATGAGAGCAATTACGAGATAGACATCTTCTAACCTGCAGCCAGCCTCTGTGTTATGGAGATCACAGCTTATCTGAGCCACGTTTGCCCAAGAGGCATTTGTCCAGGCTCTGCACTAACTTTGTCCCACTTTACTCCTGATCCACTCTGGCTGACCTATATGACTGTGTGTATCTCTTGAATGCTGCTTTACCCTTTAGAGCTATTTTACAACTGTCTTTAATATGCATGCCTAGATGTTTTCTGTTCAAATTGTGTGGGTTTACTGTATGAGCTCTATGCCTGTTTCCAGGGTCCCACAACCATTTAAAGAACTCAGGAACTTAACCTGCCTTTTTACTGGAGGAACCGGAGTCTAAATGTAGTTTCTCAGCCATACTTCCAGGAGCCAAAGAAGTCCCTGCACTGTTGTTATACTTTATAGCCCAGGAACTATCGGGAAAGAATTACAGCACATAACACAGACATTTCAGTTTGTGTACAGCTTCACAGAGTAAGCACTTTGTGCCACTAGTATTAATTTCAGGACAAAGCGTGGACATTTCCTGTAATGTTTACTGATGTTAAAGGTTCCCTGTGGAGTTTTCGACCACTAATAAAGCTTTGGAGAAATGTTTTTATGTTTGGGTCCCTGTTTGGTTCCCTCTTGTGTATTCGTAATA